TCACTAAGGCCATCGTTAGGGTCACTAAGGCCATCGTTAGGGTCACTAAGGCCATCGTTAGGGTCACCATCCAGCTGGTGGTGAACTTCAGCTGGATGAACTGACCCGTTTCCTGATCCGGTCATTCGGTTATTATTCAATGTCATCAGCATAAAAATCTTCATTTTCACTCAAAATGTTTGGATGATGTTCAGTAATTAAACGGTAACTAGGACCAGACCAGAGCCTTGTGGCTCTCCGCTACGGACAGAACCTGATTGGTGGATGGAGTCTGCACTGTAAAATATGGTGGTTGTGTCAAACTGATAAATAGTTGGTTTGCCAGGCTGTTTCTCTAAAGCTGGATCATATTTTTATTAGGCTGCTTCCAGAAAACTCAGAGTTTCTATTGAAAATATGGTATTTTAATCACAATCACACTTTGTGCCTATTTAAAATTATTTTGCTCAGTTGGACATTCCTTCAGGACGTCCACCTGTCCCCCAGGTGTCCCTCCCTGGACCCGTTACCTGTCTGACCCTCCCGCCCTGCTCGCTGCCGTCTCTCCAGGTGTATCCGGTCCGTCTCTTCCTCCGCCTGCTCTCTCGCTGTCAGGCGGCTAAGTGCTAAACTTGCTGCTTCGCCCTTGAACAGAGCCGCTCCACTCGGCGCTGCTTGTTCTAATCAATAAAACATTCTTAAAGACGCAGAGCGGCCGGATCAAACCGCCGCTCTGTTTCCACTGACACGCGTCGACGTGTGGAGGCGGGCTGTCGGCGCGCTGATGGCCGCTCTGCAGCCAGCAGCATGCTCTGGGTTCTAATGAGAACCGAACCGCTCGGAGCGGACCGGGTCCGCCTCTTTAAGACGTTCACATCGAGTTCAAACCCAGAAACAGGGAGCAGATTAAATGAGACAGGAGTTTCAGTGTGAGATAAACAGCCGAGGAGTTTGGACTGAATGACATGAACCGGACCGACGTCTGGCAGAGCTTTCCTGTTTCAAAACGGCGCTCACAGAAAAATAATGCATGAAAAGTGAAAAAAAATCATATTTCCATGAAAACAAAATGAACTCTAATGGAACAAACTGATTAGTGCGTCCAACAACGTTTCAGGGCCGTTGTGGATGGAAACAAAAGCAAATCACCACCAAAAATAAAAAATGTTTAAGATAAAAACTTTTAAATTTCTGGGTTTGACAAGTCGCCGGGTCTGAACCAGAATAGGTTCTGTTGATCTCCATCAGGCCGAGGCAGCTGTATGCTCAGTGTTCATGAACACAAGTTGCAGCTAACACCGAGTCCCGCTCCGAGTCCCGACCCGAGTCCCGACCCGAGTCCCGACTCCAGTTCCTCTCTGACCCGTTTCTCTGCAGCAGTCTCTGTGACATCATCACTCAGCTGCTTTGGAAACATCGATTTTCCCTGAGTAGTGACTGTCAGGCTCCTTTCTCACCCAGATGTTTGTTTTCTCTTCCAGTTTAAACTTTCTCCTGTCTGTGCAACCAGAACATGCATCATAGAAACATTTTATGAAGATATTACAGCTCTGAGGCGTGACCTTTGAACTGGCCATCAGATTACTGAGATGATCAGACTTAACCTGATAGCATTCTGGCTAACGCCGGCATAGTGAAAAATATTATTTATTTGCACTTTCTTTGTAATAAATAATTAAATTCAAAGCAATGGTGGGAAGCACTAGCTAAACAATTAGCTGCACTAATCCTAAAGCACTGACTATAAGCATTAGGTATGCTAGCGCTAAAGCTGAACACCAACATGGAGTTAGTGGAAAAATGTCAAACTTTATTCAACTAAAAGTTTAGAAAAATACCAAGTAGCCAGAAAAATTAATTTCTCGTGACAAATTTCTTTATTTTCCACAATTCCACTTAGCTGGAGACAGCATACTTTAGCTAAGGTTGAGGCTCTAAGTGTTTTCTAAGTTAGCAAAGGTGCTAAAGCGCTAACCTACAAAATTAGCTACACTGTAAGAGGATTAGCAGGATTTCTCGTAACAAATTTCTTAATCTCTCACAATTCCACTTAGCTTGGTGCAGCGCCTCATCCTTGGCCAAAGGGCGCTAAATGTTTTCAAAGTTAGCAAAGCTGCTAAAGCGTTGAATGGAAGATTAGCTCCACTATTGGCGCATTAGCAGAGGAAGTGAGCGTACCACTGAAGACGACCAGCCTCTTTCACTGAGCTGTTGTTTTTATCCTTGAACTGTTTCTGTGTTGTTAAGTGTTTTTGTAAAGCATTTGTGTTTTTCCTGCGGTTTCATCATCGCGGCTGACATGTGTATCGGCTGGACACTCCGATCATCCGAGTCCTCATTCACAATCTGCCTGGAAAACCCTTACATCCAGTTAAAGTCACTCTGCTGACAGTTTACACACACACACACACACGCACACACACACACACACACACACACACACACACACATCTCTGTTCTCATTTTCACTCTTTCAACACTCCTCACCCTCTCCACCTCCCATACGTATCCACTGCGGCAATGTGGCTCGTTGCCTTGGAAACCACTCATTCACCCCCCCATCCCACACCAACCCCATCCCCAACCAGCATCACCCCTCCTCCATCCACCCTACACACACACACACACACACACACACTTCTT